GATGAGTATTATTTTAAAATAATTAAAATAGGATTTATTATTCTAAATAAAGAATTTTATTTAAAATTCTAATTTCTTTTTTTATAGCATCATTCTAATTTTTTTTATGATTTACTTTAAAAATTAATAGCTTTATTTTTCAGTTTAACCAAAATAATCAAAATAATCCTAAGAATATAAAGATTGTTTTATTTTTAAAATTGCTAAGGTTTATTTAAATATCTAAATAATAAAGGTAAAACTTAATTAAATTATATTAAAAAATTCAGAAAAAGATATAATTATATTAAACTTATAAAAATAGTGAAATTATATTAAATCTTAATAAAAATTTAGTAAAATTAAAGTTTAGTTAAATTCAAAATGAGTTTAGGTAACAATTTTATTTACAGTACTAGAACTTACTAAGACTATGATATTTGGTAGTCTTGCTTTAACAATTTAACAAAATATTTAATATTACTTTTTATTAATTTGAGTAGCTTTTAAGTGAAGTAGCTATAATTTATTATATATTTTTGTATTTATAATTATATAGGAGGCGGTCAGTAGAAAAGGGGGAAATCCAAATTTTGGTCAAAATTTATATTATTGGACCACTTGGCTGATCTCAGTCATGTACACAAAATTAGCTTAATAATTAAAATTAACAAAAATTTTGGATTTCCTCCTTTTCTACTAACCGCCTCCCATATAATGAATAATTGATTTAAAATATAAAAGAATATTTTATATATTTAATTTACTATGATTCTTTTTCAAAGATCAATAATCTTTTTTTACTTAAATTTTATAAATTGATGAATTTTAGACATAAGAAATAGATATTTAATATAATAAAAAAAAATATATATATATAAAAGAAAATAATTATCTAAGATATAATAATAATAAATATATTAATAAAATTAAATATAATTATGAAATTTGTAATTATAGTAATTATTATGAAATCTATGATTATTGTAATTATTATAATTACTTAATTATTACAAATTACAAACTATAATTAGCATAATAATTAAATAGTATAATCAGATTATTACTAATGAAATAAGATATTCAATATATGTCTATTTGTTTTAAATTTAAATATACCAATCAAATTTCAAGATCAGATATAATAGTAATAAAAAAAGCCAATCATATTTTAGAGTCAGTTATAATAATTAAAATTAAAATAAAATAAAACATAATTAAAATAATTTTATAAAATAAATATCTTATATTTAATTAAAATAATATCTATTAAAATATTTAATATATTTAATAAAATTTATTAACTAGATATTATTATTATATATAAAATTCAAATTATTTTATCAATGTTAAAAATCAAATATATATATATTTTAAATGCTAAAATTTTGTTAAAATTATATTAAAATCTTATAATTACTTATGTTCAAACTATATTAAAATGTTAAAATAGTAAAACTACCATAGTAAATACTGTAAATACTAAAACTAAAAAAGCTATAATAAAACTATATTAAGATTTTATTAAAATTTTACTAATAGAATTTTAAAGAGGTTTAAGTAAGCATTCTTATATATATTACTATATATACTTACTATATTATATAATAATTACTACTATATTAAAATACTTTAAATTATATATATAATAATTACTTTTTTACTATTATATTTTTTATTTTTATATATTTTTTTATTATTTTTATTAAGTATATTTAATAAATATAAACTATTAAAAAATACTTCAAAAATTTAGTTTTCTAATAATTAATTATAAACTTAAAAATAATTTTAGATTTAATATTTTGCAATTTTGCAATTTAAATTATTATCTTTAAAATTATAATTAAATATTTATAAAACTATTATTAATTCATATTAAAGATATAAATTAATTGATATATTTTTATTATTATAAATTTTATTATAATTTATAATTTATATTATTATATTAACCCTTTTTTAATAAAAAATTTAAAAGTATTAAAGATATTATTATAAATTAATAGAAATTAATTATTTATATAAAAACTTAATAATATAGTGATGACAAATTATAAGATCATTTAACTTGAATTTATAATAATAATAAGGTTATTTGAGATAATTTCAAGATTATTTCAAGATTATTTACCAATATTATATTAAATAATATTATATATTATTAATAGATATTAAATAAAATTTATAATCAATATTATTTTAGTTATTAAAAAATAATTTAATATTAATATTAGAAAAATTAAAACAAAAGTTATTTATTTATTATAAATAATAATTTATTTATATATTAAAATTTTAAAAATAATATTAATATTTAATAAAATTTAATTTTTTTAAATATATTTTAATAAAAATAAAAAAAATAAAAAATAAAAATTTAAGATATCTTTATATAACTATTTTATACTAAAATTAAATTATATAATTAAAATTAAATCTATAACTACTAAATTATAACTTTTTAAGTTTGTAAATTAAGTAAAAACTACTGTATATTATAGGCTATAATATTCAGATATTTTGCAAATTTCATATGATTGATCTTATACTACTAAATCTATAACTTGAATTTTTATTATAAATAGAATTTATTTAAAGATTTGTTATAGTTATCTGATAAAATTTCTGGATTCAAATAAACTGTTAAATGTTAAAAGTATCAAAACTTAATCAAATCATATAAATAAACGTGTTATAATCTATCAAAACATATTAAAATCTGCTAAATTATATAAAACAGTTATATTAAAGACTTATTAATATCTATTGAATTAGAGGTTTAAATGTTTTGACAAATCTAAAATATGTTTTATTAAATAACTATAAGACTTATATAATGTTCAGAAAATTGTTTATGCATAATTTCTAATCAAAAATTAAATTTTTAAATAATAAAAATAATATAAAATATAATATAAAAAAGGGGATACAATATATATAGGAATACTATAATTTATAATATATGATAGTTATAGAATTTTAATTATAAAATTATAATATAAAGATCAACTAGTTATAAATTAATTAAATTATAAATAGTTGTAAAATTTTCAAATTAATTGCAATATTATCATCTTTATATATAATTAATTTTAAGATTTATTAAACAATGATTTTAATTAATTAAAATAATAATTTGTAAAAATTATTAATTTGCTTTTGATTAAAAAATAATTTTAAAAAATTATAAAATATATAAGTATTTCTTTACAAATTTTTTTACTTTAAATATAGAATATAAAATTATAATTAGTATTAAAAGTTTATAATAATTTTTATTTAAATAGTTTATAATATATATATTTAACTTTAAGTATTTTTATTAATAAAAAATTTATAAAAGTTACATCTAAATTATCAAAAGTTATTTTTATTAGAAAAGAATATCTAATATAGTTATATTTGAACTATAAGAAGTAAATTTATTATTTAATAAAATTGTAACTTTTTATTAAAATAAATCATATCTAAAATTTTAGAAAATAATTATATAAAATATTATATAAATTATAATAATTTTAATATTTTTAATATAAATTTAAAGTTTTACATAATATAAAGAATCTATATTATTAAATAATTTTTAAATTTTAATAATTTATTTTATAAATTTAATTAATTTTATATTTAAATATAATATATTAATTAATTAAAATCAAATTTTATTTAAAAAAAATATAATAAATTAAATATATAAAAAATATTTATTTATTAATTAATAAAAAAGTAATTAAAATTTTTTTATTATATAGCTTAATTATTTATATATTTTTTTTAGTTGTATGTTTTTTTATTTATATATGAATACAAATTTTAATTTTTATTATTTAGTAATAATAAAATTATTATTATTTTTTTTAACAATTTTTATTTAAATTTAGAAGTAATTTTATTTATTAATTCAATTTTAAATATTATAAAAATTATTTATTTATAAAATTCAAATTAAAAATTTTGAAATTAAAATTATTAAAATTCAAGTTATAATATATTCTAATTAAAAAAACTATTTTAAAGTACTAAAATGAGTTTCAGTTTAATAAAACTAATTTTAATAAGTATTAACTATGAATTTAATTTTGAATAAGAATACTAATTCTTTAAAAAAGTTATGTTATTATTATTATATAAAACTTTGCATTATAATTGATTGAAAATTATATATAAATTAAAATAATTAAACCAATATTTTATTAGATACTAAAATATTATTTTATAATAATTTACTAAAGAAATTTATTTTATTTATTTTTTAATAATTATATATAGTAGATAATGTAATTACTATATAGATTGATAATAATCAAATATCAAAAAGAATTTTTTTTATTATATATTTATAAAGTATTAATGATTATTATAATTTAATTTTAAACTAATAAACTAATTCTAAATTTTTAAATTTAAATTAATCAAATTTAATCCGAAAATAATTTAAATTAATTTAATTTAAGCTAAATTAGACTTGAACTTTAATTATTTTAACTTGTCTATAATTAACTTAATCAACTTAACTGAATTTTATAAGAGATTTATAAAAGCAAGTATAATGTAAAAATATAGTAGTAAATAACGGAAATATTTTTGTACCTAATATAATTTGCTCTTTTTTAATATAAAATCTTGGTGATTTTATGATATTGTATTAATATAACTATTACTGAATATTAATGTTAGCCTTTTATTAAAGGAAAAAACTATATTATTTATAAAGCTATGTGAAAATTATTTTAGGCCTATCATGATAAATTTTTCACGTGATCTGATGATAAAAAATAAATTATTTTTGAAAATTAATCTTAATAAACTTAGAATACAACCCACCCAATAATTTCACAAATGTAAATACAAACAAAAAAGCGATAATTAAATATCTATATGCATAATTAATAATGAGGGATAAGTATAAATAATGAGATAATTAAAAATATTGTTAAAGTAGAAGAGATATATATATACTGCAGTATATAAAGAGGGAAGTACTTACGCTAATTAAACCAAAGAATGTCAATTTCTGATTACGATAAATATATTTTCCTTCCAATAATCGAATTGTCTATAATGAGAGATTCGTCATATTGAGCATCAATTTCAATATTAATGATACATTTAGCATTATGCCAACCCAAATCATTAATACTTAATTCCCATTTTAATTCGTTATCATTTTCTTTAAGATAAGAACCAATCCTTTCACCAAATTTGTGCAATAAATGAAACGCAGAATCAGAAAATTGCTGTACTATATCAACTAGCCTTTTAATCCTTGGTTCCATAAAGAACCCATCTTTGTCATAACAAGGAAATGTTAAGTCTAATTTATGAATATAAATTCCTTTTGCTGTTGAAATAAGAGATTCAAATACTCCGATGAGTTCATTCAACGCTTCTATACGTGAGTCAGGCTTTTCAACAACAGGGGGAGGTAATGGTAACTCAATTGGTAACTGGAAAAAATCAATTTCAGATTCGATTTCTTCTTTCGTAATATAATGTAAGTGATCACTCCAAAGAAGTTTTCTTGTACGATAAAATTCTAGAATATAATGAAAGGCATGTCCATTCCGATCAAGGAAAACTTCATTTCCATTTTCCAATTTGCACATTTGTAAATTTTCTTCTTTGAACATAGTACCAAGTAAAGAATCTGGAAAAATTAAAAGTGTATCACGTGTTGTTTCATGCTATATATTGTCATAATAAAAAGGTTTTTTTTAGGTGAATGTCAACATGTATTTTGCGATAAATGCTTGATCATTTATTTAACTTGTATTACCTTGACACCACCGACATTTAAGATTATACGACAAATGGATTTGCCCATCTTTAATCAAAAAAAAAGAAAGAAAAGAAAAGAAAAATAAGATAGTTGTAAATTTAATTAAACAAAAAAAGAGACGGTGTCGATAATATTTCGTAAAGTAATAAACGTTGTGAGAATTTCTTAAAAAAAAAAATTCCTTGACAAATAATGACAAAGAAAGAAAAAAAAAAGACCAGAAAGCTTTTTTTTAAAATCAATAAAGGTTATTAATTTATATCTCGTATCATTTTAACATTTTAAGAATAATTTTTGAATAGAATAACACTTGAATATTTCATTCGGAATTCAAGACCGATTAGATAAATTTTTTTTGCATATTGGTGAAACGTTTACATTCAACATTAACTGCTTTTTGTTATAAATTGAAAATCAGTTTTTTTTGTTTCCTTTTTTCTTTTTTATGAAATGAACATTTTTAGAACTGTAAATAATGTAAATGGTAATAAAAATTGATGAAAGCTTTTATATTCGGAATAACATCTCCTCGGCTCATTTTGTAAAATGAATTCCCAAAAGTGATATGACACCAATTGTGAACAAAATAATTTTGATAGTGCAGGCCGGAATTAAATCATAATCATTAGAACTGGTTGAACTGCATTTTAAACTGTGACGATCATAAATAGAAGAGGGAGCATAAAAAGTGATTTATTGCTAACTAAATTTGAACATATTTCAAAATTACTTGATAAAATAATCAGTGCTATATATAATATCATTTGCTACTCAAAATTGGAGCATATAAATATTAACTCGATCAAAGGCTTTAGACATGCATGTCTTGAAAAAGGATGTGGAGTTGTTGGTTTCAATTTTTCGTTGTAGTCTATGATATTCCAATAGATTGTTAATAATATGAAGAGGCCACGTTTATTATTATGATGTTATATTTCGATCAATTAAAAAACATATTTTAATATAAAAGTAAAAAATTATTTTTCCCGGCAGTTCTATTGCAAAGATCTCATATGATCGGAGGTTTTTTAAGAATTATTCCCAGAGTACCGTAAATCATTTACGTATTGGGTTAGTATCTGATAATTGTTCATAAGATAAATCAATAAAGAATTAATTAGTATTTCAACTCTTTTTTTATGATTTTTTTTTTTTATTGACAAACAAGAAAAAGATATATTTAACAAAAACAAAATGATGAAATATTTAAATGAATTACAAAGAAATTTGGTTATATCAGAAATAAAACAAACAAAATGAAAATGAAAAAGAAATTTATGTTAATTGAAAGAAAAGATTAAGAAATAAATACAAATGAACGATATGAAAACTTAATATTATGCGAAAAGGTCATATTAATTACAAAATAATCTTCTTTACTTTTATGGTATAACGATAATAATTAATTAAAAAACGAATGAAATATATATAAAAGAATTTATCTTTTGTGATTTACAGTATATATTGCTGCTTTGCTGCTTGATTATATTCACAAAATGTTAAAGTATTAAAAAAATAATTGTTTTGTCAAACGAAGAAAGGAAGGTATTATGCCGCATGTATGTGATTTTCACACTCTAAAGTATCGATATTTCCTTTTGAACTTGTCACCGGTGATGGTAAATCAACATCATCACTTATATAACCAGAATCTTGACTATCATATTTTAAAATTTCTTCTTGTTTGTTAAAATTCCTAGTCCTTGAATAATTTTCAGAATGAATATTTTCTTGATGGATAGATTTAGGAGAAAGGGATGGCTGAGATGACGACGGAAGAGACATTGCATTTGTAGTGAAATTTACGAGTCTTTGTAAATCCTCCAATTTACAAGAAGTTAAGTCAATATTATATATCGTTCGATTTTGTTTTGAAGGATACTAATATGAAAAGGAAATTTAGTGATTTTCTTTTAAATTAAGAAATTTTTACGATAAATAGAGAGTTGATAGCTGCAAAATTACCTTTTTTGAGTTGACAAGTTCTCCTTGAGTTAATTTATATAGATTGTTGACTAAATTTTCAATTCTGACCAAACGTTCAGAAAGTAATTTCATACAATTATCAGAATCATCACAAGAATTGCAATTTGTTGTGTGAGAATTGTTATTAATCTTTCTGTAAGGGGAAGTAGGAAACACCTTTGTTAATTTAATTTTATGTACTCTAGAGCAACCATGTTCTCTTCTTTTTTCAAAGCATTTATTATAGGATTTGGATTTCATAGTTCGAGGCATCTTTTTTTTTTTAAAAAAAACTCTTAAAATTATTAAAGATATATATATATTTTTTTTTCTTTTGAAAATTATAACTTGAGGAAAAAGAAATTAATTGCGCTCTTATATATCAGATGAAATACGGAGTTCAATACATTTCCGAATATAGCTATATAATATTATTTGTACAACATTGGAGCAAATTCCGACACATCTACCGGAGTTTAATTCCATGATACAATAAATGACAAAGTCTAACTTGGAAATTATAAAGTTCCGACTTCATTGTTTCCTCTTCATCAAAAAGGTAAACACAAATGTCAAATATATCTACGGAAAAAAAGGTGGCTGAAAAAGAATGAATTAAGAAAATGATCGAGTGGCTCATTATATTATTTATATTGTGAGAATTGAAGTACAAAATTTGATCGAAACATTCTGGATATGCAAGTAATTAAAATTTGGTTGTACAAAAGTTTTATATTAATCTTTGTTTTCTTTTATTATTCTCTCTTGAATTGAATAAAAAAAGTGGGTTTACTATTATTAGAAGGTCCTAATAAATATTTGAATTTACAAACAAGGATTAATTCGGAACGCAGGAACGCAGGTGAAATTTAAGTGGAATATATGTGGGAAAGAACAAATGTTTTATTCGCGAAGTAAATGCTCAATTTAATAATCAATGATTGTTAATAAAGAAAATTATTTCTTTTTGTCTAAATTATTTGTCCCATTAAGTGGTAAGCTTTAACCGGATGTTTAACCCTTCACCAATAATCCTTATTGAAATCGATTGTTATCTTTCATTTCATTTCATTATCCATTGTCGCTATTTTCGTCTTAAGTGGGTGAAACTCCATAAAATGACCTTATGACACATTTAAGATAGAACAACAATATAATTTTATTCAACTTGAAATCTACTTTTTTCGATATTGTTTAAATGTATGTAAGAAATCACACTTTATCATCTTTATTCCGAATAAAGTTTACACCAATTGTTGGTATTTAAATCTTTTGGATTATGGAGTCGAGTTCTATTCTTAGATATCACGACCCGGAGTTTTAACAAGATTAGCCACACAGTAAAGGCTCACTAGCCACACATTTTGCCGACAATCATATCTCTATTTACATTCTCATTGTCCCTAGACTCCGAAAAACGAAATTTCTTTACAACATTTCTTTGTTCTAAAAATGAACACGTCACACCAAATCATACGTTACCGAATTTTTATTAGTGGAATCCATGGTAAATCCATTTCATTCTTTCTAATTTCGAACTGTTAGCGACTAAAGAATTCTTGAATAGGTAATTCATGAACATATTAGTATTGACACAATAAAAATCATTTATCAATAGAAATTAATTTAGAAAGTAAACAAATAAATTTTTGGTTTGCCTATATTTCAACTACTGTTACACTAGTCTAATTAAAGATACGCAAAACAAAAAATAACAGCCATTATATTCCTTAAAAAAGTGAATAGTCATCTTAAGGAATCAAAGATATAAATTCCCTAATAAGTCCGGCCCGTAACGAATGGTTTGATTTCTAATTGTTGGCTTGTCGGTTATTCCAATTTCAGGAGTCGATTGTTTTATCCGCTTTCATATTATGGCACCCATACTTTGAACGATGTGATCCAAAAAAGAAAACCCAAACCACCTATTAAATTTTTTTGTATCTTGATAAGTAAATAATAAAATGATAACTTGTCATTGAACGAATTATGCATGTACGTTTGTATATTGACAAATCCTCGTTAGTTTTGCCGTTAACAAATATTTATCCACGTTCATTTTATTTTATTTTATATACAAAAATTTTTGTGCTAAGATTGTGGGGCGTACAATTACCGTAACAGACTGATTCGATTTAGAATAAAGCTGTTTGAAGCGTTCAACACGATAACATTGTTTGGATAACATATTATTTGTATTTATTTTTATTAGCGAATGTTCTGTATGAAGAAAGTTTTTACGAAGTAAATCAAGTTGATTTATTTAAAAAAAACTTAAGTATTTATACATTCTTTTTAAAAAAAAACTTGATAATATATTTTTAATTTTATTATTAGTTTCAATTTCATTATCCTTAATTTTCATTTATGATTAATCTTCATTAAAGTCATTAAAGATCAATTTTTATTTTTTTAAGTCAAATTTATCATTTTGAACTACATACCTAAGATGTCAATTTCTAATAAATTCCGTATTGCAACAATTCAATATAAGGATCGTGTCATTTTAATCGTGTCACTTGCATTTTGATTCGTTTCTTATAATCCTTTTATTAACAATAAGTCAAGAATCACAAAATAGGATGATGTGATGTTTCTAAATTTGACCCACCACGAAGTGCGTATGATAACATTAACGATGTAGAATTTCGCCCTTGTGCGTTTAATTAAGTCAATCACGAGATTTCGTGTTACAATTGAATTTCGAGATGCACCACTAATTAAATAACTATGGTATATTTGTTCTCTTTGTAAGGCAATAAAATGCAAAGCATAATCGTAAAAATATTTACTAAGCGTAACCATCGTTTTATTTTTCAATAGATAATTCTTTCTTCATCTTAATATGTCTTATTTGATCATGCAGTTATTTTGATCATCTCAATCTTTAGATATTTGTTGTTCCAATTACTTTCTATTTTGAAAAGTTCATTCATCCAATCAATAGCTATTTTAGTTTTCGGTACCAAAATAGCTTGAGTAAAGAAGTGACGGTTGTAACTCCATGATCCCAAATCTTGATTTGCCAGTTAACCTCTTCCCATAATTCCTAATTCCTTTGGTATAAGGAAATCTTATCGAGTTTCTTAAGCACCGGAAAGCAATGGAAGAAAATATTTTTTTTACCTTACTCACTCAATTTTATTATGAATAGAATAGTTTTTAATAAAAAAAAAAATAGATAAATATATAATTATATTTTATGAAAGCATTGCGTTGTTATCCATTTCTGTTTAATTTTCTTTCCTACGCAATCACTTCCTTAATCACTTATTTTTTTTTTTTCAGAACGGCAATGTTTTATGGTAATTTTAATTTTTATAATTGTTTATAATTATTTTAAATACTTTTGTTTTTAATATATATTAATTGATAGTTGCGTTGATAAAATGAAAAGGAATTGGTCAAGCATTTTAAATCAGATTAAAATCTGGACTATAAGGAGGTCGAATCAGAACATCAGTAATAAATTCCATCTTGCTGAAAAATCCAGTAACCTACATTATTATAATTTGGTGGTAATATGTTACGGCCAAAGAAAAAAGGTGCCTTATCCACCGCTATTACTTTAGCGGGGATTGTACCCACTTTCCTTGTAAAAATATATTTATAGTTCGACCAAGGAATGGAAGAATTTATAATTAAAAGGATAATTTAATGAACGGAATATTAAACGTGATTCATTTTAATTCTATGTTCAGTATCTACCAAAGAGATCGATTCATAAATATAATAATGCATCAGAACTGCATTTTCGCGAATTGAGAAGAACAAAGGTTACCAACGATCCAAATTTTTTTAATTGTACCAGCTTTATGATACTTTACTTCAACCTGCTTGGATATTTTAAATGCCTTTTCCATTTAACAGAATATCATGCCCGATGCATTTAATTTTATTCTTTAAATATATTTTTATCTTTTTTTTTTTTTAAAAAAAAAAATTTTATAATTAATATTAATTCATGCATTTATGCTAATAATAAGCATAGAATTTAGAATTCATGGGAGATTTTCTATTAAATTAAGTTTTGATCATATGATTTACTATGCTTTTAATCCCTATAAAATGATGTTCTATTTTAATCCGTGATCCTGAGTATATTTAAGCATTTCCCTTATTATTTTTGAAATTGAATAATAAATAATATATGTCATAATTAAATATGACCATTAATACTGGTACTACATTTTATTTATAAACAAAGATCTTTTGCTCGATTTGAAGAAACAATGAGTATTAAAGTTTGCTCTAATGATTCATTATTTTTATTTCCAATCACGTCACACATTCTATTCATTTATTTTAGACTAATTAGGAAAAATTAAATGAATTTTTCAAAGGGGTTAAATTTTACGTTAGGGGGTGAAATATGAGCGGAATCTACAAATGCGGCCGTCCGTTTATTGTGATATGTGATTATCTTTACTTTTCTTACTTTTTTCCTAGTCGACAGAAATCACAAGATCCCTATTCCTTTTGCGATTATATAGACTCTCGGTCAAAATTTTTATTGATCGGATTACTATTAAAGTGTAAACAATGAAATTATAACGTTGTCCTATCTATGTAACATTTGTGCCACGTTAGAAAAAATTAAAGAATCTATGAATTAACGAAAAAAGAAAATCTTTCTCATAATTTACAAATTATACAGTAAATTACTGGTTTGGTACTGATATTAATTGAAGTACAAATGCCTTTCATTTCGGAATAACCTGGTTATGATAAAAGATTTGTACTTGTACTTACTGTATAGGGTATTTTTACCATCACAGAGTTATCGAATAATCATATGATATTCATAAAATCAAGTCACGAGACTATAAATCATATGATCCGAATGTTATTTTGAATTTCATTTTTAATTAAATCTAGAAAATCAAAAAAGATAAATTGAATCATTTTGAACACAAATACCCAAAAGCTGTCACGCATTTTGGATAAACTAGCATGCATGAAGAAATCCGTCTATCACCTTAATAAGATCCATCCGAAAATAATTTTCCGCAAGTGTTTAGGATATTCATAATGTGATCACGGCACACATTCATGTTATGGAACAAAATCCGGACGGTTTCCGGACGCTCCCGGACATTTCCGGAAACTAATTATGATTTCTAAACCTCACAATATTCACATATTCTTGATTAGAAAATGTACGGAGACTACCGTTCATCAAAAGGCATTCTCCGATCATAATCATGTAAGATTAAACGCCATCTTTCTTTAAGTCGCGTACCCCCGTTATTGCAAGCTTAATATTTCTTTTTATGATTACGTCGGAATCATTTCTTGGCATGTCTCTGAAGTTATTTTTACAACCCCGAACAAAAGTTTTGTGAATAAATAAATACCTCTGAAAATCAGCCGAAAACCCCGATTTACTAGATCGACAGGAAAAAATGTTTAGGATTTTCAACAATATGTGTTCCTTATCGAGATTCGATATCGTTTTGTGCAATATTTGATCGGCCAGCATTATCATAATTCTAGCCTAAATCTATTGAACAGCGAAGTTTGGTGATCGGCATAATTTCATTGGGTCAATAAAAGAATTTTTTTTTTTTTTACTTTTTGGAAAGAACCAAAAGTTTTTATTCCTATTATTTTCGATCGATAAAGTAAAATGATTTGAGCAATATCACAAATCATGGGTTTTTCTCTAATTGAACATCGTGATTTTAAGAATATATGAGATCATGACAAGATTTTGTTACAATAAAAAAATTTCTGTGATATATCAATTAAATACAAACATAAATTGTCCATAGGAATCGGCAGTTATTTGTCCCAAAAGTCAAATTGTATAAGATTTGGTAAAATGGCTGAAATTCTAAAAAATATAAATTCGTGCTGAATTGGAATTCATTTGAAACAATTTTTTCATTTTAGTCTTTTATCGGTTAATTGATAAACTAGTCAATCACAATCTATTCAAATCTCTTACTTGTGTTTTTTATATAAATATTCTTTGCGGAATCGTTTACAAATTAAGAAACATTACTGCATAATTTAACTGCGTGTAACTCGAAAAAAAATTTTAATTGACACAAAGAAAGAATTATTGTAAGCTTGATGCGTAGATTTTCGGAACTGCACAACCATCTTCCTAGGAACCTTCCAAGAATTTAAACAAATCTTGTTGTTGCAGAATATTAATTAATATTATGTTGGAAAGACTTTTCCAAAAGAAAATTTAATGAGAATTTTATGAGAAAATTAGAATGATACTAATTTCGTTACATTACCTTTTGAATGATTTTTTATTGTTTAATGTTATGTCATACATATTTTTTAAATGGAAAATTGTCACGTCATTTACCACATGACGCGTCTTGTGTTTGGCAGAACAGAAATCACAACAGATTTTATTTTTTCTTTGTAATAGGTTTACACTAAAAATTTATTTTCCCATGAAATTATTAGAGAATAAAAAAAAATTCTCTCTAAAAAAAACTGTAACTTTATCTAAAAGATTTAGTCTGTATCATGTTACCATTTTATCGTTCAATAAAAATTTGCATTTTCCCTTTTTTTAAAAAAAATCGTCATAACATTAACCATAGATTATGAATTTCCGCAGTATTTCCAATTCCGGGAGATCATTTGACCATTTGACTTATCAAAACGACATCGATTTATAAAAAGAAAAAAAAAAAAAAGAAAAAAAAATTTCAATTCCATTATTTAATTTAATTTTAGTATTAGAACCAACTCACAAGAGTAATCACTAACAAAGAAAATTTTAAATAGAATTCCAAAGAAGGAATAAAAGAAATAAATAATTTTTTTATTATTATTTGTTTATGTGAAAGTTTTGATTATTTTATAAATTAAAAAAAAATTTGTTTCAAGAATTTTCAGGAATTTACTTACCGGATTTGTTAACATACTTTCGATATTATCACTGTTTATTAAATAAGTTCTTCTGTGTGGAAAAGTTTTATAGAAAAATATCCGGTTTTGGATCAATATGAACGGACTACAACTCCGCTACATATTTTTAATTAAACGTTTTAATTTGTTTAATTTATATAAGCGATCTATTGAGTTTGGGCGGAAGGAGCGGGTTTTAGCATAGCGGGTGGTAAATAATGTTACATACGGAATATCGGAAGCGGCGGATTACCTATATAAAGTTTGGTTTTGTGATACTTAATTACTGTCGACTATTTCCTTTCTTGATTGAATGGTTTGATGATCCTTCAAATTGTTTCCACACATATCGATACCCTTAAGTTCGCGTGAATTGCTCGAATAAAATCGCGTTTGAACAGGTAAAATTATCGAATAAAAGCTGCTGTTATTACCACAGGCCTATCACAGGACGAAGGGAACTAAAGGTTGGTAGTTGGTAAAGGATGCAACTTGAAATTTTTTTTTTTTTGAAATCGTGGGGAAGTGGTGTGATTATTTAAATCCGCTGATATATCACGTACGTTGATAGTAAAGTTTCCGAAAAAACCTATTTACCCTTGGACGATCTTTCCATTCATAAACCATGAATGTTGTGTCTATGTAAATTTATTGAAATATTGAATTTAATTGTGCTTTCCTTCAGGTAAACAAAAGCTGATAATTAAATACGCGAGAACCTTTGTTTTATCGTGCTCCAATGAGGGCGTTATTGCGACTCAAATAATCACCCAAAATTGTTATTGTGAGCTCGTCAACCATGGAACAAAAATCATCCCCATGATATCTGATAAATTACCATTGCACATGATCCAAATCAACCTCCTCTGATTTTACAAACAAAAAGTAAATAAGAAATTAACTTAGTAGATCCCGTTATATAATCAATCGAATCGAATATTTGTATTTTTTTTTTTTTACTTTGACGTTAGCTCACGTGAAAAGAGATAGTAATTTCTAAAAACAGAAATGATTGTATTCATGGAATTACAATTCCATAAGTTAACCAAACACCTTCGTGTTCAGCTTATTTCGAGCACGTTTTTCTTTTAATTGTCCGATTGGTGCGATATATTTAAGCTCAATTTCTAAATTTATCACGCGTCTCTTCAAAGAAAATGAGCTCAAATGAAACATGAATGGTAACATTCATTATGCATCCATCATTAAGAACCATTAGCATGTTAAATTGAAATGTTTTATAAAATTATGATAACACAATATAAACAATCATAAAGATGTAGTCAAATGATGTGCAGATTGTCTCACGGAAGGAGTTAATATTCCGTTATAACATTTTGTTTATCGTTATACAAAACAAATTGTTTGATTATCCAATTGATCCGCAGAAACGAAAATATTTATTGAAACAAACGAATTAAATTACTTTCATTTTGAAATGATGAAGGCCAATTAGGAAAATTAATAAAGAATTATGATTGATCCTTTTCAGATATGCCGTAGTTTAAAGATTCTTTTCTTTTCTTTTCTTTTTAATGAACAAACAAATGAACAAACATATGAATGAATTAATTAATGGGGAAATGCATGTTGTTCCTTAAAGAATTCATTTATCATAATACATTAATGTGCGTGCCAGAATTACCATATTTACTAAATGAAACAGCAAAAAAACCTTATTTGGTACAAATAAAAGAATTTTAATTGAATCAACGTTACAATTCACTGGTGCCATCGCTTTATATGCAAAAAAATTGTCGTTATTATGTATGACGATGTTTAAGAACAAGAATGATAAGTTTCAAGTTTGATATTACAAGCGGAATTCCATAACTTCATTTTAATTGTGTAATATGACAAACAGCAATTTGTTTAAAAATTACAGGAAATTGTTTGTCGTTTCAAAGTAAACATTTTCCTGCATGAAAATTTAATCATACTTAAGTAAACTTGATTTAAATTTTTTTTTTGCAGCAAATTGTGAAGGAAATGGCATTCTCACGCGAGAAAATTTAATAATAGACGCGATTATCATTATCATCTTTTTCCAAAAATACTCACGGATTGCCTTTTATAAATTAAGTTATTCTTTTTTTAACTAATATTTTCCAATATTGAATTGATTATTGATGAATGGTAAAACTATAATGAGAAAGGGGGAGGTAACAATGGCTTGAAACACGAACATTTGTTACAGATTCGTTTTTTACTGCGTCTGTTACGTTGTGTAACGACTGGAAAACCAATAACGAATGCGAATTAAAATTATTTGCATGAATCATTTCTCAAAAAATAAGCCGTTCATTATCATGCTAATTTTTACCAAGTCTAAATTTGGCGGAGGGAATTAAAAAATTATTATTTAATCTCTAATTTTAGATTTTCATTTTCTTAATAAAATTAGCTTAGTGTTGTTTTTGATGCATCAGAATTATGCATTGAATGTCCTTCTTTAAAAAAAAAATTCCGATTGAAGAAATGCACCGTAATTAATACCTCTTCCCTTCTATCTTAAAAACTTGTTTTAGAAGTTACAATGGATCAAGCTATGAAACTCCATCATAACTCAATGTACTTCCGTAGCACAAGCCATATAACTTCTTTCCATTTTGATGTTATTTAAATATTAAATTGACAAGTTCTGCATTTATTCAAGGGGAAGGCAAAAAATAAAAAAATTAATTGTCTATATTTGGGAATTTGAAAACAAATTTCTAAAAATACATTTTTTTTTTAAACGATTTCAACATGAGCCTTCACAATAAGAGCAAATTATTTCATTGACAATGTACATACATTTAAATATTTTTGCACATATCAATTATATCAATTAGATTATTTATATTCATAATAATCTAATTTAGAAAATACTTTTTGGTAAATCGACATTTATTTGATGTGATGATTGTTTGAATTTACAATTGAACAGCGTACTCGCGATTAAAGTGTGATGGCGTTAAAGCTATGAAAGCTTGGTAATTTGATAATTATTGAGTTACCAATTATGATCAAGAGAAGAAATTTAAAGAATTTCCTTCATTAATTACTTGTGCTTTTTCAGAGTTGCACGAACAAATTGTTATTTACGTCACAACGTCACGTGCATTCATCGATGATCTAACTTCACCAAAAAATCTTCAATTTCATAAAAGGAGAACAAAATAAATATATACTGTTTTACGATTAACTTTCAAAATGTTCTATAAAGAAAGTTTTAGGTTGAGAATATGTGTTTGCAATTGTTTAAAATCGTTAAGGAGGTTTAGTCATACAGCGTGAAAGATCAGGGGATTGATACCCAAATTTATTTTTAATATTTTAAAATAAGGTGACCTTTGAAAGAAATAATAATGTATTTTTTTTTATGGCTGGAAATGAAAATGTCAATAATAAATCCAAATAGTTCATTCAGTATTTGTTCTTTATATTTGCAAGTTTTTTCATTGTATAATTTTGTTTTAGCTCAAAACGCCGGTGCGGTATAACTTACGATCCCCGTTTTTAGCCACACCTCCGTACATGTTTCCAAATTGTTATATATTTATCCTGTTCCTTTTAACAGCTAAAATGGCATGCAAGGAAATCGTTGTCAAAGTCTTTTTTTTGTTAGTTTTACTTGTCAAAAGGTACTTATGGGGTTTTATTTTCCCGTTGCCTGGTTTTTCTTAACAACGTCTTTCTTTTTTCTATTTGAAACAACACGAAATCGAATGTCATTGATCCTGATTCTTCGGTTCATGATGATCCCATTTATTATTATGAAAATTTCATGACACATATGATACATGTAATGAATATTTTTAAATATGGATTTAGAAGAATTCGATAAAATGACATTTTAAAGAAAGTTGAGCCTGTTGAAACGTGATATGTGGCTTAAAATCTCGCGACTTTGAAATACGAATTTATTACATCAAAAGCGCAATAACATATCGATCTTTCTTTCGTGTTTTGATATAATGATATAAAAGAGATCTTACATCTTCTTTATTTTAGTAAAATATATATATATATATAAATAGACAGTAAGATCAGCTGTCGCACACAGCCTCAAACACTGAGGCTAAGAGGAATCATGAGAAAGGCTGAAAAACCACCTACAAAACAAAAAAAAATGCTAAAAAAAAAAAAGTGTTATTGTTTTCTTAAATTCCGAAATTAATTTTCGCAAAATAGAATGATTAATGATTGAAAAATTTTTTTAAACCATATTTTGTTTTTACCAAATTAAGCTGTAAATATGATTATCAAAATTGATCGACAAGTAAAGTACTGTAATTATTTATACACTGTGATGTTTCGGACCTCGCTATCCGAACTAAACAATATAAATACCCTACCTCATCCCTATCAGATAAAAAATTAAAAACAAAGGGTATGAGCTCAACCATTAGCAAAACTCTTGTTTTTATTATTATTATTTTTTATTAATATTATAATTTGTAAATAAAATAATCGTTAATCTTTTTTATATATAATATTTTATTTTTTTTTTTTTTTAAAAAAAAAAATTATAGCTTTTCTTGAATATTTAACTTCTTCAACTCACTTTCTTTCTTTCTTCACTTTGTTTTTCGGCAATTTTGTCAATCATAACGAAGTTAAAGTTATTTCGTAAATTAACAAACTTTTTCCGAAATGACGCAACATTCATCAAATAACCGAAATTTTAACATTCCTAATACCGGAAACCCCTATCATAAAACACGTGGAACTCATGCGCGCGTCTCTAGAGTAAGGGTGACAACAGTTGGAAAGACTTGTTTCTCTGAAAAGCAACTTAGAAGTTGTCCAAAGTGTAAAGAGTCTGCAAATAACGTGAAAATGCTGACGGCACGTGTTGGAAAAATTGAATGTTTGGTTAATGCTTTAGCGAAAACTACTCAGAATTTAACATCAATGTCGAAGGTAATAATCATACTTTGATTTTGATCAAATGTGAAAAACCGTGATTTATTTTGTTTAAACTTTTTTTTTTATAAATTTTTTTCCGTGTTTAGCGAGAGGATCGATTCGCTCAACATTCGAGGTTTGGAGGACTAGATTTAACACGTTGTAGCCTTCAAGAATTACAAAGATTGGTAGTAGCAACGACGAATATCATGGTTCCCTCAAATAACAAATTATCACAAAAATCAAATCAAAACCCTCATCCTTCCATCACTTCCGATAATATTAATAATGATAATGCCGCCGAAAAGACCATTTTGCATTCCGAACCTATTGAAGATGTAAAAATATTCCAAGAAACAAGTTCTGCACTCCCGTCAAGTCATCATAATCAAATGCAGATAGCGCCGACATCTCCTATTAGAACTGCTACATCTGTCTTAAAATGTAAATCATTGCGTCAAGATTCAGGATTTTTAGAATCAAAGCACATGCTGCCCTCTGATAATGCTGAGAATGCCGAGAACGTTCAAATTAACGGAGAGAGTCGTTATTCTGATGATTAATGACCTTTACTTGCCTTGACGATGAAAAATATTAAACCTTTTAATTTGAAATTTGGAATTTGTATTGTAATGCTTTTCATTAAAACGGTATTCAGGAACATTTGTCATTTTTTTTGAACACATTGGTTTTCCAATTTATTATGATGGCGCTCTTTTGATTTTTAAAACGAATAATGACTGGGTCACTTTTTTGTTTTTTTTTTTGCATTTTATTTTTAATAAACCAAATAGGATAGAGTCCGTTATTAAAAGATAGGAAAACCAAAAAAAAAAAATTTTTTTTATATGAATATATCACAAAATTTTATGAATCTATTCTATCACTCTAAGCAATTTATAATATCACTTTGTGATTGTTTTAATCATTTTGTATCATATTTTACATTCCCCCAATATAAAATTATATTGATCATGATTTTAAAACCTTTTTTTTATCTTCGTTCATATATATATATATACTTTCCTTTGTTCTCGTATTCACACCAAAATGAACTTTTATTGTTAAAATTATAATCAATTATGTATACATTATATATTTTTTTTTTAAAAAAAATTGACTTGAACGATCATTTGTTTTTTTTGATTTCCTTTCTTGTAAGATTCTTTTATTATAAAATATTTTCGCTATTGAATTTTCCTTTTTTTTTCTAGTTAAATAAATTTATTGTATGAAAAATTTAAAAAAATATTTTTTCATTGTTCTATGCAGTTACTTGTGAAAACTATTCAATTCTAAAACAACGAATCCCTCGGAACTGGTCCCCCCGCATCTTTTTTTTTTCCTTATTTTTTTTTTTAAAATAAAGTACAGATCAAATTTGTACATGCTCTAATTTGTACATTTACTTTCATTTCAGGAAATTGGCCTGCAAAAAGGCATTTCGCCAGACTTTGAGAAACTTCGTCATGTGCCATTTCCAAAAGAAAAAAAAATTGTTCAAATAAATAATAAATCCATTAAAAGCAATAAAATAATGTGCAAACTTACAGCAGATTTTTATCTGTGTAACGAAAAGCAAAAGGGAGCCAAGCTACTTTAAAAAAGCAAACTGGTTTTTTTTAAGTTGAATATCATGTTTCATCTACGTGATCTTTGTTATCATATACACTCATAAAAATTATTCAAATCATAGTAAGAATGAAAATTTAGCATTTTAATGAGTATTTTCTGGTCGGGCATGCATATTATCAACATTACTAACCATAGCAACTTCATATTGTTTTATCTTAATTTATTCTTTCATTTACAATTAGATGGTACCTTCTTCGAAAGTCGTAAATAAATAATAATGCTTAAACCATCGAAAAAAAAAATAATTTGTACTTGTCTGAATCTTTATTTGTATTTTTTTTTTTTTATTTAGTAATTGAAGATTTATTTGTGCAATAATTTTAAATTCACGCGTTTTTTCAAATGAAATTTTTAAATAAAATTTTTAAATAGGAAATTTTTTTAAAAGAAAAAAATCACTGATGGCGTAAATGATAATTTTTTTTTTGCAATTTTTTTTTTATGATATCATTTTCAATTAACCTGAAATTACTCGATATTGTGCGAAAAAATTTTTTTTTTTACACCTGTCTATTAAGCATATGATAGAACCAATTGCTTATTTTTTTTTCAAAGAATATTCACGAATAATAAAAATTTTACTGGAATTACGACTATCTATTTACATATAACGATATGTTCACGTTAAGCTGTGTGAAAAAGTTATTATTTTGGTTAAATTTGATAAGAAAAAAAAAATTTTTTTTTTCTTTTTTGACATTGGCGCGGAATTTAATATTCAAAAACTCCGATATTACCTATTATAAGAATTCCACATATAACAAATACAAAATACTAAATTTGTTAGGTTATAGAAATCCAATAATACTAATTATTTATGATTATGTTGTCAAAATTTTCTCATTCAGAGAATAGGATCACAAAAAAAAGGAGTCAATAATAACTTTTGGATTCCGATTGCTGAATCATTGAGCGCGCTGATGACCCGACAATAGCTCATAGGCAATAAATTGAGAGATTTGACAAGTGTTTTTAATAAATCTTTCTGATACTTTTTGATATGGTAACTTTCGCTTCCAACACGATTATACGTCGTTAACCGGTCAGGATTTGTTCAACATTTTCTTTATTAAATTGCGCGTTCTGGTTAAACTGCAGCAATACAAAATCGGAGTTATCATTCCATTAGAAGATCATATCGGTAAATAGCGACAATCAATCAATTTAATGGCTGATTGGTTGTCGGAGTTCGGATTCGGAAATAAAATCCCGACATTCCTGCGGACGGAACATAACAATTGATGACATCATCAATTAATTGTAACAAATTTTTTTTCCTTTGAAATACCCCAAATTCTCTAGACCTATATACTCCTGAATTTTTATTTCCAAACAAGCCCTTTTTCTTTTGTTAAAAGCTGAATGAATCTTTTATTTATCCAAAATCGGAAATTTCGGAGATATGAAATCGGAATCTCAAAATATGTCTCCGATATAATGATCAATATTTAAAAATTTGAGGTTATATCTATGAAATCAAGTTCCGCTTCACTTCATTATAAATGTCAAATTCGATTGTTATTACTTAATTTTGGTTTGTGTACATACCTTACCGTATTCGTAATATCTTATGAAGATTCTACATATATTGTATTCTGATAAAAGAAATTGGTAACTTCTAAATATACAGTACAATCCTATTCATTTGAACTCCGCGTTTATGGAGCGAACAATGCAACTTGAAACTAATGGTCATTTTTTTTTTTTAAAAGTTACTTTATTGAATTTTCCGAAGGTTGCGAATGAAAACTATTTTACTTTTGTGCCATTCCTTTTTGAGTGAATTAAAAAGCCACGGGAAATTTTTCGTGCATGGCTACGCTGTGGCTTCTCGAACACACGTTTGTCATATGACCGATTTATGAATTTAATTTAGAAGTGATTTGCTTAATATTTATAAATAAAAAAACTAAAGTTATTGGAGCTTTTTAATCCGTCCAAATGTAACTTGATTAATTGAATCATTAAATAATTAAATAAGTAATCTCAATATGGTATATAACTTTTTATAAATTTCCTTATATATTAAAAAAACAATCACAGCTTGATTAAAATTTGGCACACCAACGGATTTTTCAACAATATAAAATACTATATACACAATAGATTCCGCATAAACTTAATAGTCCATGTAGGCAAATGTTAATAAATACTCCATAAAATTTATATTAACACAATAGTTATATTATAACAAATAATTTCCTGATCTGGAATTTTATGCGCATCGCCACTCTGTAAAACCACATAAAGGGCACTTCCGTTTAAGGATTCATTATCATTTAATATTTGTTGAATTCCTTGCCTACTTAACTAATCAGATTGTGCATTTTCTCCAATTCTTAAAGTTGTGTTTACTTCGATATTCAAAAAAAAATGAAATTTAACTCATGAGAATTATTAGTAGATGAGATATATTGGTTTAGAGATGTTGATAGAGGATTGCTATTTGTATACGGGTGTATGAAACAAATGGGTGATTAAGTTTAAAAGAATTTCTGTTTCATATTAGTAAAACGAAACACAGTGGGTGTGACTAACTCAACCCCATGTTTAACTTATATTCTCATAAGTTTATTTATTTATTTCAGATATTTACAATAGCAATTTATGCAAGTTCAAATGTTATAATAGTATTATTATAGCCCCAAATGTAATACGGTAATTGTATTATTGGAATATTTCAAATTAAAATTTTAATTTTAGACTTCAAAGTTTATTTTTTAATTTAATAATTATTTTTATATCAAAATATTCGTTAGAGTATATTCTTCATATTTCTGATCATAAAGGATTTTACATAGCAAAAAAATATATCATTTTTTATAATATAGAAAGCTTTATATAGAAAGTTTTACAAAAAATTAAATAAAAAATTTTAAGGTTTTGATTAAAAGAAATTAATTGTAAATGCTTAAGTAAATATGAAAGTTGAATATAATTTAAATAAAAGAGTATTAATATTGTAATAAAAAAAAGACAATAAAATTAATATTAATATTCTATCATAACTTATAATTTAATCTGAGAATATTTGACATAATTTTATAGAATATAATATTTATTGCTTCTTCAATTATACTTTTTTTTAAGGATTCATTAAGAAATTCAACTAATTATGAAATTTTTAAATAAATTTTTTTTTAAAAATACAAAATTTAGCTTCTAAATAACATTAAATTTTTTATTATTATTATTCAAACATGCAGACTAAGCAAACTGAAACACTTAATCAGAGTAGGTAAAGTTAGATTTAGCTCATCTTATTCAGTAGAAGAGACTTTAAATATTATTTGATGCACGTGACTTAAATTTACGCTTTAAAAATGTTCTTTCATGACTTGAGTTCTTAAGCTACTTAGTATGAGGACTAAACAACTCTATTAATTTTTGAGTATTAACGTTTGAAATCCTAGGAGATAGTTTCACTTCTAAATTTTATTCTAAATTTATTCAAACTTAATAAAGAAATTCACAAAATACAGTTTTAAAAATTTTATTAAGATAAAGAGTATGATTAGGCTAATCAAGACTCTTAATTGTTGGACTAAAGTCATTATTACATGATAAAATTTCCTAAAACTATGATTAAGAATTCATTATACAATAACTACATAATAATTACTTCATTTTTGCAGTATTAAATATTCTATCTAATAATTACTACCTAATTATTATATAATAATTTCTGTAATGTTTTTCACTTAATAATCCTCCTCTTAATCTTATCTCCTTCTATCTTTTACATCATCATTGCTTTATCCTTGCGTAATATCATAGTTGAATTATAATTATGCAATCATTATTTAGCCATTATAAAGCACTTTTCCCATCCTTATTATGCATTACATCATTGATCATCCTTTTCTTGACGAACAATTTTGGTGAGAATTGCAATGATCATTTATTACATATAACTGATTTTCATGCT